CAAATAACCGTCGTCCCTTCCTACTGACCTAATATTTAGGGAGCCTGTCTATTTTTGGAGAAGCAGATTTATTAGCTTTATTGCGAAACTATGCAGTTTCTTGGTTCAATTACTGCTAACCAAACTCCTAATCATATTTCGCAATCCGTAATATAAATCTACAATTATTAGTTATATGTGCATGGTTATTGTCCGTCCAACATTACGAATTTGATTTGTTATATACAACTGCATTGCCACATTCCGACACTGCATTTATTCAAATCTTCGTGTCGATGTCCTGTCAAATGAATTCGAGGCCTATTTTGGTCGAGTACAGAAAAGTTGATAGAAGCAGAAGAGACTTGAAGACGATGTAATCAGTCCATCACCCTTGAAGTTTTGAGGTGGTCAGTCCCTCAGTCTGGACTGAAGAAGCCTACTGTGTAGGCGAAACGTTTCGAAATGAAGATACCTAACTGTTGCATATGTGTCTTACCTAACAACCACAAGGGGAGTTGAATAGTAGCTCTAGGCCTTTCGTGTTACAGTCAACACATCTTCAGGAGCTTGCAATGTTGCAGAAACGAGTAGGAAGTCCAGGTAGATTAGTTCAGAGGAAGTATTCTAACTAGTGTCGAATCTACCTGACCTTCCTAATCATTTCTACAATAATACAACAGGTTCTTGAATATGTAGGTAGGTAAGATACATGGACAACAGTTAGGCAGCTTTATTCCAAGACGTTTCGCCCACACAGTTGGCTTCTTCAGAGGCAGCAGTAGTAATGAAATAAAGTTGACTTAATCAGTCCATCAATATTGGAGAAAAAGTGTGTGAAGTGGTGAGTCCCTCAGCCTAGACATAATTATACTTATGTGTACCTCTGTCTCAGGATCTCGGTGAAAAAAGTCACTAAGTAAGAAGAACATAAGAACGAAGGAACACTGCAGAAGGCCTACTGGCCCATGCGAGGCAGGTCCAAGTCTCCTACCGGCTTAAGACAATGCACCCAACCTAGTCAGGTCAGGTCACATTGACTTAAGGGACACAAGGACACAAGTGCAACTAATGTTCACAATAATGTCTTATCACTGATTTCATCATTGCTTAGTTAATCTTAAGTTAATTTTAAGCCAGCCCGTAATGCTATGCATGTAAGTGGCTTTGGCATGCTGCTCTTACCTGTATTTTTTGTACCTCTGTATGCTAAATTTCTAAATAAATAAATAAATAAATAAATAAATAAATAAATAAAACGTTTCGCTCTCCAGGAGCTTCATCAAGCCGTTGATAAAGCTCCTGGAGAGCGAAACGTTGCCACAATAAAATGTCACATTAGTTGCACTTGTAAGAACATAAGAACATAAGAACGAAGGAACACTGCAGAAGGCCTACTGGCCCATGCGAGGCAGGTCCAAGTCCCTACCGGCTTAAGCCAATGCACCCAACCTAGTCAGGTCAGGTCACACTGACTTAAGGGAGGAACACGGCAACCGACCTGTTAGCACAAGCTATCAGGTCTAACTCACACCCACCCACATCTACTCATGTATTTATCCAACCTATTTTTAAAGCTACACAACGTTCTGGCCTCTATAACGGTACTTGGGAGTTTGTTCCACTCATCCACAACTCTATTACCAAACCAGTACTTTCCTATATCCCTCCTGAATCTGAATTTTTCCAACTTAAAAACCATTGCTGCGAGTCCTGTCTAGGCTAGATATTTTCAGCACACTATTTACATCCCCTTTATTTATTCTGTCTTCCACTTATAAACCTCAATCATATCCCCCCTAATTCTACGTCTTTCTAGAGAGTGCAGTTTCAGGGCCTTAGTCTATCCTCATAGGGAAGGTTTCTGATACATGGGATCATCTTTGTCATCCTCCTTTGTACATTTTCCAGAGAATTTATATCCATTCTGTAATACGGTGACCAAAACTGTGCAGCATAATCTAAATGAGGCCTAACCAAGGATGTATAGAGTTGAAGAACAACCTGAGGACTCCTATTATTTATGCTTCTTGATATGAAGCCAAGGATTCTATTAGCTTTATTGCGAACACTTATGCACTGTTGTCTTGGTTTCAGATTACTGCTAACCAGAACTCCTAAATCTTTTCGCAATCCGTAATATTAAGATCTACATTATTTAGTTTATATGTGGCATGGTTATTGTCCTGTCCAACATTTAGAACTTTGCATTTGTCTATATTAAAACTGCATCTGCACTTCTCCGACCACTGCATCAGTCTATTCAAATCTTCCGGGAGTGCTCGAATGTCCTCGTCAGAATGAATTCGAGGGCCTATTTTGGTGTCATCGGCAAACTTGCCGATGTCGCTCTTTATGCCCTCATCTATGTCGTTTATTAGATTGTAACAGCCAGGGGGCCCAACACTGACCCTGTGGAACACCGCTCGTGACGCTTCCCCACTCTGATTTCTCCCCTTTTTATGAAAAACTCTCTGCTGCCTATTTGTCAACCATGCCTCTATCCAGGAAAAAATTTCTCCTCCTATTCCATGTGCTTTAATTTCCTCAATAGTCTCTGATGTGGGACCCTGTCAAAAGCCTTACTAAGTCCATATACACAATACCCATTTTCGTTACCATGATCTACCTCCTCAAATACCTTAGTAAAAAAAAGTTAATAAATTCGAAGGCAGGAACGTCCCTTTGTAAAACCATGCTGAGATTCGTTGATTAATTTATGCTTTCAAGGTGGCTCGAACTGCTGGGCAATTATTGATTCCATAAATTTTCCCACTATGGGGGTTAGGCTTATTGGTCTATAGTTCGAAGCAAAGGACCTGTCACCTTTTTTTGAAATAGGTATCACATTTGCCATTTTCCACTTATCTGGCACCATGCCAGTTTGTAGTGATATGTTGAAAAGATTACCCAAAAGGTGTGCTAACTCCTCTTTACATTCCTTTAGAACCCTTGCATACAGTTCATCAGGCCTGGGGATTTGTTAGGTTTTAATTTATCTATTTGCCTAAGGACCATGTCACTTGTGACCCTAATAGTGCACAGTTTATTATCGTCCTGTTCTACATAATTATCATTACGGGAATATCACTGTATCCTCCTGTGTAAAAACTGAGAGGAAGTATGTGTTAAAAATTCTACACATTTCCTTATCACTGTCAGTGAGCTGACCCGAGGAACTTTTGAGTGGGCCTATCTTGTCCCTGATCTTACTTCTGTATACCTGAAAGAACCCTTTTTGGGTTAGTCTTCGTTTCTTTTGCAACTTTAACCTCATAATCTCTTTTTGCTTTTCTAATTCCCTTTTTTATTTCTCTCTTTAACTGAATATATCGATTTCTTAATTGCCCCTCTCCTCTTTTGATTTGCCTATATATGCCTCTCTTTTGACCAATCAGATATTTTAATCTATTGTTCATCCATTTAGGATCATTTTTGTTTGATCTGATTTCCCTATTTGGAACATAATTTGACTGAGCAGCTAGAACTATGCCCTGGAAAGCATCATATCGGCAACCATCACCACCTACCTGACCCCTAGTCAGGTCATTCCAGTTCAGCCCACCTAAGTAATTTTTCAGTCCTATGAAATCAGCCAAGCGAAAGTCAGGGACGGAGACTTGAGACTGGGACGGAGACTTGATTGCCAGTATTAGGGGAATTCCATGATATGTTAAAACTGAGTGATTTGTGATCACTCTCCCCAAGCTCATCATTAACCTCAAGATTATTAATTAGTGTTTCCCTACTGGCAAGAACCAAGTCAAGGAGGTTATTTCCCCTAGTTGGCTCTGTCACAAACTGTTTTAAAAAACAATCCTGGATCGTATCAAGAAAGTCACCCGACTCTAAATTTCCTGTCAAATTGCTCCAGTCAATCTGTCTATAGTTGAAATCTCCCATTAGCACAACATTTTCGTATGTAGATCCCTTTTACGAATTTCGTCCCATAGAAGTTTACTGCACTCCCTATCAAGATTTGGGCCCTGTAAATCAAAACCCAAAATTAGTTTTTCTCGGCCCTCGAGAACTGAAACCCAAAACAGATTCAGTGGCTGACGCTTCTAATTTAATATCTTGTCTAACCAACAATTTAAATTGTCTCTGACATACATCGCTACTCCACCACCTTTCCTGTTGACCCTGTCAGTGTGGAATAATTTATAGCCTTGTATGTGACATTCAGATGGCATCTCTCTACTTTCAGATTGAGCCAGGTCTCTGTTATAGCAATAATATCTATGTTTCCTGCACTTGCAATTAATCTTAGCTCATCTATCTTATTTCTAACACTCCTGCTATTAGTATAGTAAACCTTAAGGGAGCTAGTCCCTTGCTGCCCTCTGCTGTCCCCCTTTGTTTTCTGACCTGTTCTATTGTCTTTATTTATAACTTCAGCTGAATGCCTTTTATACATTTACTGTTTCCAACCCTAGTGTTGCAACCTGCTTGTTTCCCACACACACCCATACCTCTATGGGTGTGTGTGGGAAACAAGCAGGTTGTGTCCTTTTACTTTACATATTGTCGGTAATTCTACCAACTTTATTACAAGTCAATTTAAGAATATAAGAACATACGAAATAAGGAACACTGAGCAGGCCTACTGGCCCATGCGAGGCAGGTCCAAGTCTCCTACCGGCTCTACACATATGTTGCTATGTATGATAATCTATGTAACTGTATTTGTGTATACCTGAATAAACTTACTTAAACTTACTTAAGAAAGGAAGTGCACTGCGGCAGGCCTACTGGCCCATGCGAGGCAGGTCTCCTACCGGCTTAAGCCAATGCGCTAACCTAGTTAGGTCAAGTCACATTCACTTAAGGAGCACGTACTTACATACATTACAAACATACAGGACCAGGAGCTACGACTCGACCCCTGCAACCACAAACAGGAGAGTACCTCCATACTTACTAATATACATACATACAGTGCTGGAGAGGTGGCAGCAGTGTAGGAGTGAAGGAGAGGGAGGGAGGGAGAGAGGGAGGGAGAGAGGGAGAAGAGGAGGGAGGGACAGATTCCCTCAGAGTCAGTCAGTCAGCTACGCCACACTTGGCACGAAGCCACACAAGTATTATCCGGCTGATAAGATATTTTTAGCTTTGAGGTTGATCTAAGGGGCAGCCACCATGACTGAGGAGAAGAACAGTGTGAAGAACGGTGCAGCCAACACTGAAATGGCGCCCCAGGAGGACGGTACTAAGGTGCCTCTCACCAGTGATGGACCAGAGGTAACTAACACCACTACTCAGCATCTTTATTGCCTATATTTAATGTTCATACTGGGTTTGATAGATTATTATGACTGAGGAATTGATGAAAACGGATAAAAGTTGGTGGAAGTGTGAAATAAGGTTAAATGTTGGGTTGTCACATTGTGGGATACAATATGGCCGACTGAAGGCCAAACCTATATAATTTATTATTGAAAATATCCATTATTACGTTGGATTTTCCAATATATATTGTTTTATATTTTGTTCACATATAATAAAAGTGATTAACACTAAAGATCCCGCTCACAGTGATGGGCCAGAGGTAACTAACAATCTCAAGTTTTTCATCATTATTTTATATATTTAATGTTATTGATCAGTGAAAAAATATTTTAGCCGAGGAATTAATAAAAGCAGTTAGATGATAGTTGCTGGAAGTGTAAAATATGGATAATTAGGAGATCACGTGATGTTAGATACAATATGGCTGACTCGAGGTTAAAGCTGTATAATTTATTCTTGTAAATACCCATTATTACCTTGTTTTCTTATATATGTTATTTTTGTGGTGTTCACATACAATAAAAGTAACTAACATAAAGGCCCCTCTCACCATGATGGTGCAGAAGTAACTAACATAAAGGCCCCTCTCACCATGATGGTGCAGAAGTAACTAACATAAAGGCCCCTCTCACCATGATAAGATTTTCGTTCGGATTTTTAACCCCGGAGGGTTAGCCACCCAGGATAACCCAAGAAAGTCAGTGCGTCATCGAGGACTGTCTAACTTATTTCCATTGGTGCAGAAGTAACTAACATAAAGGCCCCTCTCACCATGATGGTTCAGAAGTAACTAACATAAAGGCCTTAAGAAATCGTAATGACACGATTGCAAATAAACCATACCCCCGGCCGGGATTGAACCCGCGGTCATAGAGTCTCAAAACTCCAGCCCGTCGCGTTAGCCACTAGACCAGCTAGCCACAATAAGATTCATCCAACTAGGTATATTTCTACACCATAGGAAAGTTAGCACAGGCACCTCTGTGACCACAAAGTATTTTATTGTGGCTAGCTGGTCTAGTGGCTAACGCGACGGGCTGGAGTTTTGAGACTCTATGCCCGCGGGTTCAATCCCGGCCGGGGGTATGGTTTATTTGCAATCGTGTCATTACGATTTCTTAAGTCATGTTGACGGCAGTGAAGGGACTTGAGCTAGAGTTCGTCACGGCCACGCTAGCTGGAGATTCGTCTGTAAAAACTTGCATTTGTGGTCACAGAGGTGCCTGTGCTAACTTTCCTATGGTGTAGAAATATACCTAGTTGGATGAATCTTATTGTGGCTAGCTGGTCTAGTGGCTAACGCGATGGGCTGGAGTTTTGAGACTCTATGACCGCGGGTTCAATCCCGGCCGGGGGTATGGTTTAACATAAAGGCCCCTCTCACCATGATGGTGCAGAAGTAACTAACATAAAGGCCCCTCTCACCATGATGGTGCAGAAGTAACTAACATAAAGGCCCCTCTCACCATGATGGTGCAGAAGTAACTAACATAAAGGCCCCTCTCACCATGATGGTCCAGAGGTAACTAACAGCTTAACCACATTTTTCCATCCTTTTTTTTTTTACCTGTTTATTGTAGATGGCGAGTTTTAGACTTTTTTAACCAGGGAGTTGGTAAAAATAACTTACATAATAGTTGCTGGAAATGTGAAATAAGTGTTGGTAAGCCACGTGATGGATATAGCACTGACTGAAGGCTACAGTTATATAATTTATTCTTAAAAATATCCAATATTATGTTGATTTTCTTATAAATGTTTTGTGGTGCGCATGTACAATAAACATAACAAACATAAACTCATTTGAAATAACCTAATATATCTTCACCTTACTCCTCCAGTGGTAGATATTGGACCGGCACAACCTTTCTTTACATTAAATTAGGTTTATTTTGGTACAGGTACAGTTATACAAATTCAGGTGACTGTAATATATATACATATATGATAATGTGTGTAAATTGCCCAATATAACTCCCAAAAAAGTCTGATATGCTGCATGCCCCACAAAATATTATTGTTGCTAATAATCAGAATAACGATATCCAGAAGAAAAAATTGTGGTGGGGTGTAGGTAGCAAACTTATATTGTGAAAAAAAATAGTTTGTTATTTCTTAAAAGGACCTAATATCCATATTTGCAATAATTCTTAAACTTTTTTAATTTTAACTAAAAGTTTGAAAATTAAAGTGAACTGAGGCCAGCATTAAGGTAACTGGAGCGGGTACAGTGTCTTTATGACCCATTAGGGTTTAGAGATTACTTGTGCATATGATACAGTACTAGTAAGTAAGTTTATTCAGGTATAGGTACACATTAATACAGTTATATAAATTATCATACATAGAAGCACAAGTGTAGATTACTTTGGATAACCCAAAAAGTCAAAATGACTTATACTGGCTCCCAATGGAAATAAGTGCATAAGAATGGAGAAACACTGCATTAGGTCTACTGGCCCATCATACTTATAACACAGGAAACACACCTACTGTGGAAATTATTTATCAACATCTTGGCCAAAACTCAATAATAATAGATGCACAGAACAGTGAACTACACACTACTACCTGTTTTTCATTAGACCCAAATTCTGCCTGTTAAATTATTCCTGTAGCTCTTCAATTCATGTATGAATAGGGAGAATTTTTTTTTTTTACTCTATGTGGGAGATGGGGCCTCTAAACAAGCAAGGCTGGTTAATCATCTATTGAACTGGCATTGGGAATACCCCAAGTATGATAATCAATATGATTAAGCAAAGAGGTTGTTAAAGCCTTGCATGAGAAACGTATTCTCAACCTTATGACCTCAGTTTTGTTTCCTGCCTTGTATTTGTAGATACAGAATATAAGGCCAATACGTACAGTGGTATCTCGAGTTTTGAACAGCTCCCAACTTGAATAATTATGGAAGTGTATTTTTGTAAGTGCGTTTGTAAGTGTATTTTTGGGGGTCTGAAGCGGACTAATCTAATTCACATTATTCCTTATGGAAACAAATTCATTTGGTAACGGCACTCGAACAGCCTTCTGGAACGAATTATGGTTGAAACTCGAGGTACCACTGTATTATCCATATATTCTGTATCTAAAAATACAAGACAGGAAATAATATAATATTCAATTCTATCGTTATAATGAAGCTTCCGTGACAAATTTTCATATATCATTTGGTAAGGCTTTATTTAGTTTAAGCATTTCAGGTCTAGTTTTGGTATTATAGGATGGACATAAATGTACTAGAAAACCTGGAGAAGAATGGTGGAAGTTAATTCAACTGTTGGAAACCTTTTCTGAGAAGATAGGCTGAAGGCACTGAATTTCCATTATGAAGAGGTGACTAGGGGAGGGGGGTATATGATTGAATTGTACAAATGGAAAATTGGGATAAAGGGGATATAAATAAGAGGTTAATAATTTGTTTCTTACCAACAGGTAAAGTTTACATCCAATGATCCACCAAATGGAGATGCCAAGATTGACATTCCACTGGCTCCAACCTTTAGTGGACTTACGAAAGAAGAGTTGATGAAGTACAGCAATGATCCGTTTTGGGTCCGTCTTCGTTGGGCTTTGTTCATTGTATTTTGGTGAGTGTATTTGTTATTAGAAGTTTAACATTTAATAAATAAAAAATATGATACTATTTGTCTTGGGGTAAAAATTGTACTTTATCTACTTGGTATACCTGGATTATACCTGGAGGGGGTTTCAGGGGTCAACACCCCTGCAGCCCAGTTTGTGACCAGGCCTCGCGGTGGATCAGGTATGCCTTAAACAGCCATTTTATTTTTTGTTAGGTTGGGCTGGGTTGCAATGCTGGTGCTGGCCATTGTGATCATCATTCAAGCTCCTCGCTGTGCACCAAAGGAGACCCTAGATTGGATTCAGGAGTCGGCCATGATTCAGTACGACGTGAACAACCCCATTGATGCCGACATGTCTTCTGATGCAACTCCTGACGGTAAGTGTTTCTAAGTTTGGTCATCATGTTTAATTTGCCAATTTTTGGTTTAAGAAGATTATTATTATTATAATAAAAAAGAAGCACTAATGGTTTGGGAAAAAAGTGACTCAAAATTTAGTTTCTGCTATGGATTTAACAGTCATTGATAATTATTGTTAGGTAGAAGGGCACAAGTGAAACTAACGTGACATTTTATTGTAGCAATGTTTCACTTTCCCGGAGTTTTGTCAAGTTGTTATGGCTTGACAAAGTTCCTGGAGAGCAAAATGTTGCCACAAGAAAACGTCACATTAGTTGCATGTGTGTCCACTTACCTAACATTTTGTTGGTAATTCTACCATTACCACTAATTAATTTTTGTAACATATTTACAGACCTAGTGAAGATTGCAGAAGATCTGGGTATTACAACAGTGTACATAAAAGATCTGATCAGTCCCTTGAACTTTGAAAATATCAATCCGTTGTATAACAAGTCAGATGTCATGGCCATTCTTGAAGTAAGTACTTTGGTATTGTACTGGAATCATTGTATACCAATCATGGACACAGTTTCTGGAGAGCAAAACATTGCCATAACAATATATAGCATTAGTTTCATCTGTGTCCATTTATGTAACATTTTGTTGGTAATTCTAAAATATTGCCCTGTTCTAATGACACTTTTTAATTGACCTTGAAAATTCATGGGCCTTTTAAAGTTCAAATAGTGCACCTTATTATTTTTTAACAGGCAGCAAAGACACATGGTCTTCGTGTTGTGACTGACTCAGTGCCAGATGAGGTGGCACCAGACAACAACTGGTACAAGAACCCTAATATGAGTGACTATTTCAAGCACAAATCTAGGAAATTAGACTTTAGCAACTCTGATCTTCTGGAGAAACTGACTGTAAGTGTGTGCTGCTTGGCAGAGTTCACAATAATTGAGCAATTAAACTTTGCAATTTCTTTGTGGTGGCATGATAACTAAAGCATTCATTGCAGTCAAATTTCTATGTTTACCTTGAGTCAATTTTAGTTGCATTCAAATACTTTTCAGACTCAAATTAAGGTGGTAAATAAATAATAGAGTAAGTGATGGTGAATTTTTTTTTTTCGCCCTGCTTCAGTGGGAGACGGCTGATGTAATAATATAAAAAAAAGGGGGGGTAATAATTTTTATAGTTTTATATTTTACATTTTCTGGGTGTTCAGTGTTTGTTGATTCAATTTGATTTACTTCTAAAATGAATTCAGGACCTAAGTGAATTTCCCACTCCTACACTCAGTAACTCAGTAGGAGCGGTATGGATCATAGTTGCCTTATAGACACTTACAGACAGTGGAAATTTTACCTCATTTGTATATGTTAACTCTTTAGAAAGGATTCTGTAATAATGATAATGTAAACAGTAATGTATTGTTTTGAGGAAGACAAATATTTAACTGGTATTGTAAATATACTGCTTGTATGGGCATTTGTATAGTAATATCCTGTGGCCAACTTTTTCTCTTAAGTTTTGAGGATTGTCATATTCTATAAAGCTAATTGGCATTTAATTCAGACAGCTCATGTTGGGAACAAGTGAGGAATTTTCTAAAATGTAGATTACAGTGTATGTAGGGAATGTGATTATATGCTGAATTGTCTCTCTCCAAACAGGACTTGTTTAGTGGTATCTGGAAGGAGAGAGGGATCGGAGGATTTTTGGTGGACAATGCAAATACAGAAGAATTGGTCAATGCCAGTAAAATTCTGAATGATGCTTTGGAGCCAGCTGATGGGTGAGATGATTTAGTGTTTACACTTTATGATTAATTACTAAATGTGAAAAGAAAACCTATCGTTTCTTCTTTTTCAGTTCGCCTTGCCTCAGTGGGAGATGGCTACTGTATTGAAAACACTCTGATTATTAGTTTGTCATAATTATAAACAGCTATTGGAGGATAGATGGGCTAATGAGAGCATAGGCAATGGGGTCGAAGAGGTATGGGGTAGGTTTAAAAATGTAGTGTTAGTGTTCAGCAGAAGTTTGTGGTTACAGGAAAGTGGGTGCGGGAGGGAAGAGGAGCGATTGGTGGAATGATGATGTAAAGAGAGTAGTAAGGGAGAAAAAGTTAGCATATGAGAAGTTTTTACAAAGTAGAAAGTGAGGGCAAGGAGGGAAGAGTATATGGAGAAAAAGAGAGAGGTTAAGAGAGTGGTGAAGCAATGTAAAAAGAGAGCAAATGAGAGTGGGTGAGATGTTATCAACAAATTTTGTTGAAAATAAGAAAAAGTTTTGGAGTGAGATTAACAAGTTAAGAAAGCCTAGAGAACAAATGGATTTGTCAGTTAAAAATAGGAGAGGAGAGTTATTAAATGGAGAGTTAAGGTATTGGGAAGATGGAGGGAATATTTTGAGGAATTGTTAAATGTTGATGAAGATAGGGAAGCTGTGATTTCGTGTATAGGACAAGGAGTAATAACATCTTGTAGGAGTGAGGAAGAGCCAGTTGTGAGTGTGGGGGAAGTTCGTGAGGCAGTAGGTAAAATGAAAGGGGTAAGGCAGCCGGGATTGATGGGATAAAGATAGAAATGTTAAAAGCAGGTGGGGATATAGTTTTGGAGTGGTTGGTGCAATTATTTAATAAATGTATGGAAGAGGGTAAGGTACCTAGGGATTGGCAGAGAGCATGCATAGTTCCTTTGTATAAAGGCAAAGGGGATAAAAGAGAGTGCAAAAATTATAGGGGGATAAGTCTGCTGAGTATACCTGGTAAAGTGTATGGTAGTTATTATTGAAAGAATTAAGAGTAAGATGGAGAATAGGATAGCAGATGAACAAGGAGGCTTTAGGAAAAGTAGGGGGTGTGTGGACCAGGTGTTTACAGTGAAACATATAAGTGAACAGTATTTAGATAAGGCTAAAGAGGTCTTTGTGGCATTTATGGATTTGGAAAAGGCGTATGACAGGGTGGATAGGGGGGCAATGTGGCAGATGTTGCAAGTGTATGGTGTAGGAGGTAGGTTACTGAAAGCAGTGAAGAGTTTTTACGAGGATAGTGAGGCTGAAGTTAGAGTATGTAGGAAAGAGGGAAATTATTTCCCAGTAAAAGTAGGCCTTAGACAAGGATGTGTGATGTCACCGTGGTTGTTAATATATTTATAGATGGGGGTTGTAAGAGAAGTAAATGCGAGGGTCTTGGCAAGAGGCGTGGAGTTAAAAGATAAAGAATCACACACAAAGTGGGAGTTGTCACAGCTGCTCTTTGCTGATGACACTGTGCTCTTGGGAGATTCTGAAGAGAAGTTGCAGAGATTGGTGGATGAATTTGGTAGGGTGTGCAAAAGAAGAAAATTAAAGGTGAATACAATAAAGAGTAAGGTTATGAGGATAACAAAAAGATTAGGTGATGAAAGATTGAATATCAGATTGGAGGGAGAGAGTATGGAGGAGGTGAATGTATTCAGATATTTGGGAGTGGACGTGTCAGCGGATGGGTCTATGAAAGATGAGGTGAATCATAGAATTGATGAGGGGAAAAGAGTGAGTGGTGCACTTAGGAGTCTGTGGAGACAAAGAACTTTGTCCTTGGAGGCATAGAGGGGAATGTATGAGAGTATAGTTTTACCAACGCTCTTATATGGGTGTGAAGCATGGGTGATGAATGTTGCAGCGAGGAGAAGGCTGGAGGCAGTGGAGATGTCATGTCTGAGGGCAATGTGTGGTGTGAATATAATGCAGAGAATTCGTAGTTTGGAAGTTAGGAGGAGGTGCGGGATTACCAAAACTGTTGTCCAGAGGGCTGAGGAAGGGTTGTTGAGGTGGTTCGGACATGTAGAGAGAATGGAGCGAAACAGAATGACTTCGAGAGTGTATCAGTCTGTAGTGGAAGGAAGGCGGGGTAGGGGTCGGCCTAGGAAAGGTTGGAGAGAGGGGGTAAAGGAGGTTTTGTGTGCGAGGGGTTTGGACTTCCAGCAGGCATGCGTGAGCGTGTTTGATAGGAGTGAATGGAGACAAATGGTTTTTAATACTTGACGTGCTGTTGGAGTGTGAGCAAAGTAACATTTATGAAGGGGTTCAGGGAAACCGGCAGGCCGGACTTGAGTCCTGGAGATGGGAAGTACAGTGCCTGCACTCTGAAGGAGGGGTGTTAATGTTGCAGTTTAAAAACTGTAGTGTAAAGCACCCTTCTGGCAAGACAGTGATGGAGTAAATGATGGTGAAAGTTTTTCTTTTTCGGGCCACCCTGCCTTGGTGGGAATCGGCCAGTGTGATAAAAAAAAAAAAAAATTAATCAGTACCCAGAATACTCTTTGACTTGCAATTTCTGGACAGTAACATTACGATGGTATGTTAATGAGTATCTCAAGAATTGGGGAATCAGAAACAGTATGGTGAAATTAGTGTATTTAACCCTTTCATGGTTGGCGTTGTACTAATACGGCTTGCACACCAGGGTTGGTGCCGTACTAGTTCGTATAAATTCTAGCACCTTCAAATCTAGCGAGAGAAAGTTGGTAGGCCTACATATTAAAAAATGGGTCTGTGTGGTCAGTGTGTGCAGTATAACAAAAATCCTGCAGCACACAGTGCATAATGAGAAAAAAAAAAACTCCGACCATGTTTTTGGTTTAAAACAGCGACTTTGCACTGTATTTTTATATGCTATTTATGGTTGTACATGTATTCTAGTTTTCCTGGTCTCATTTTATAGAATGGGAAACATATTATGGAAATTGAGATGATTTTAATTGGTTTCATAATGAAAAGTACCTTGAAATTGTGCTCAAAGCAGCAGAAATGTTCGATTTTTGCCAAAGTTCAAAGGTAAACAAATTGTGCCAAGCGTTCAATACAGGTCAACTAGTGAGTCTAATATTCTTTCACAAGTGCGCTGATATTATTTATACCATTTTTACACCATTTCTACACGAATGCAGTAGTCTGCATAACATAAATCTTCTATTTTTTGTGAGAATAAAAATTCAAAGTGGAAAGCAAAAGAAATGTAACAGAGGCCTGGGGACATGAGTAATGAACAGAGGAAATGTTATTTTAGTGCCAGGAATGTCTGTCTTGTTTATTCTGGACCCTATTTGGAAATTGACATCTTTTGAAATTTGTGAAATTGGCAAAATTGCCAATTTCTGATCATGTTATTGGATAGTTGAAAGCAGTAAATGGGTGGTTTCTTGTACTCATTCGATAGAAAACATAGAGTTCTAGCGAAATAGGTATGATTTTTGCCGACTGGTACATTGGAATTGGCCGTAAATAGGGCTCAAAGTGGGCGAAATCGCTGATGCATAAACATCGAGACCGCTACCTTTGCAAGAGCATAATTTCGTAAGTTTTTCATCAAATTTCATACTTTTGGTGTCCTTATGATCGGGAAAAGATTCTCTATCATTTCATAAGAAAAAATAATTTTTTTTTTTTTTTTTAAATTTCCGACCCTGAGAACAAGTTTAGGAGAGGGCCTGCCAACCCTGAAAGGGTTAAGAGATAAATAATTCTTGGCTGAATTACTGCACATTTCAGCTATGAAAATTAAATCTGATATATTTGAGAATTATGTTTTACTGTTAACTGACTGTCTGTTGACAATTTGTAATAAATTGGATGGTCAGGAGCATTTTGGAAAATAAAATTAAGTAAAACTTTTATATAAAAGAATTGTATGATATTATATCAGATATTTGCCATAATGAATGATAGTGTGAATGATGGTGAAAGTGTTTCTTTTTTGGGTCACCCTACCTTGATGGGAGATGGCTACTTGTTTAAAAAAAAAAAAAACTAACTTCTCATGGTACTACAAAGCAGAAATACTGCTCAGTCTGCTCTATTTACATCAACTGATTTGGAAGCAAAGGAGACAGAATGCTAGTTACGGAACAGTCCATTTTTCTGCTGATGTCATTGCAAAACAGTATCTGTTCTTCGCAATTGCCATTACTGGCCACACTTGTCCACATTAGTCCTTCAAATTGAGGGTATATTATACACTTTTCTCATAAAATATAGAATGACTTTGAGAGTGTATAAATCTGTAGTGGAGAGGCGGTGGTGTAGGGGTTAGCCTAGGAAAAGTTGGAGGGAGGGGGTAAAGGAGGTTTGGTGTGCGATGGGGCTTGGACTTCCAGCAAGCATGCGTGAGCGTATTTGATAGGAGTAAATGGAGACAAGTGGTTTTTAGGACTTGACGTGCTGTTGGAGTGTGAGCAAGGTAACATTTATGAAGGGATTCAGGGAAACTGGCAGGCCAAACTTGAGTCCTGGAGATGGGAAGTACAGTGTCTGCACTCTGAAGGAGGGTTGTTAATGTTGCAGTTTTATAACAGTAGTGTAAGCACGCCTCTGGCAAGACAGTGATGGAGTGAATGACGATGAAAGTTTTTCTTTTTCGGGCCACCCTGCCTTCGTGGGAAACGGCAAATGTGTTAATAAAATAATAAAAATCTATTTTCAAACCTTTCTAATCATAATTCTTACAATGTTAAGAGGATAGATAGAATAAGCTGTTATTAAAGTTATGGAGAGTTGTGGTAGTAAGTTCAGCTGGATTAGTGCAGTTCATGGTCTCCAGGTCTTAATAAGCAAATAGACAACAATAATGAAATATACTCAAAATTTGAAGGTAAGAGGAGGACTGGTCAAGATGGGTAGATGATGCTGAGTGTGTTGCTGGTTAAGTGATTCTGAGAATTATCTTCATAATGGGGGGGTGAAGCATCCATCAAGAAGACTGGCAACAGTGTCAAACAATGGAATGGTTAACATTTTATTTACAATGCATGCTGATTTTCCTTTTAATAATTTTATTCAGTATCTTAAAAAATTCTGAGGCTGCTTGGTTGTTACATTGTTCAAATTTAAACCTTTCCCAGAGAAGTGAGCCATACATATTTATGCTAGATCTGTCATGATGATTGTTTATAATTTAGTATTTATATCTCTTGCAGTGCTGTTGCTTATGGGGTTGCAGACATGGAGAATGAACTGGTAGCAGGCTTTAATGCCACGAAGTTCCGCAGCTTTCTTGATGATCACATTAATGACTGGTCTTATTATAGGGTAAGAGTTTCTTTTTTGGATCACCCTACCTCGGTGAGAGATAGCCAGTGTGTTAAAATATGTATTTTTCATAATTAACCTCATGAAAATTGCTATTTTTTAATGAAATAAAGCTTATGAATATGAACTCAACCACTGTAACAATTTATTGCCAGTGTCAGGACTAGTGTGCTTATCTGATTGTCTGCTTTTTACTTCCTGCTTTACAGTTCAATCCCAAGCTGGCTGAAGGGCACATTCCTGTTAATGTGGTGCGTTTGGTGACTCTCTCGCTGTTCATGGTACCTGGAACACCAATCCTTGATGGTTTTGATAAATCTTATTTTGACAGCCAGAAGGAATTTATCAAGTCACTCTCCGAATTAAGAGAGAAGGAATCTGTGAAAGTGGGCAACTTGACGTTTGCGGAATCGAATGAGAGTGTTATAGCATATGCCAGGTGAGTTTTACATGTATTTACTTTCTTCTTTCAGCTATCATTTATGTCAGATTTGCTTCAAACTTGCTTATGCTTGTATGTATGTTTTATTTTGTATTATTAATTTCCTTGAACAAAATGAATTGTTAATGTGCAAGAACTTCATTGGTAATATAATAAAATAGACATGTAATGCTAAATAGTGGTCATTATATGCATTTGTGGGCAGGATAGACACAAAGTTGACCTAGCCATATATATTTTACAGTACTAAACATCATTTTTCTCTTGTAAATTCTCCTGAAACTTTGGTCATCTGATATAGCATTAGCAGCAAGGTATTTTCTGTTTTTCACAGATTCATAAGTTGTCCATATGGATATAAGGCAGTTGGTGGTGCTGATACTTTGAAAAGAGCAAATGGCAATGTTTAAGTTAATATTGTCTTTTTCTATTTTCTTTGTGCATTAGTACATCAATAATTGATTAAAGGAGTCAGTGTTTGGAATGGTTTTCAGTGGTACAAAATAATGTTGGTAATGTTGTAACAAAATGTTTTAGGGAATTAGGTTTGTTTATAAAATTGTGATTTCATGCAGTGACATTTAATACGATGTTATCTAATGTATTCTTTTTCTTATTTTTTTGCTGTCAGGATGCCGTAAGTTATAATCATAATGATTATTTAAATGCTTTTAATCAGTTGTGTAGTTTTGTACAGGAGTTCTTGTTGCATATATGTGTCTCCTTCCTGTAATCATTAGGTAGATGCTTCCCAATAATGGTATACTATATTGTAACTTAATAATTTTTCAGAGTGATAAAGGGCACTCCTGGTTATGCGGTAGCTGTCAACCTGAGTCCTGTCAGTAATGTGACAGTTGACTTTACTGCAATAGAAGGGGTGTCTGGAAAAGGAGACAATTCTTTGAGATCAACTTCTGATGTGCCTGTTAGCAAGTAAGTACAGTAGGTTCCCAGCACTTAGGTTAAGGCCTTTCAAAAACAAAATAGTTAATTGATATACGGAACCTATTCTTTATAGACATCCACATTATAATTGGGGATGCATTCCCAAGGACTTGAGTTGTGAAGATGGGAAGTACAGTTCCTGTACTCTGAAGGAGGGGTGGGGATATATATACAGTAGGGCCCTGCTTTTCGGCTTTCCGCTAATATAGTGATCTCAAATTATGACCAAAACTTTCTATACGGAAAGCACTTTGAAATACGGCGCTTCCCCCGGTTTTGTTTACTTCTCCATGAGCACATCTCTCTATTAATAATAAAATCCTCTTGGGCACTTAAATGTTTAATTTTACGCAATAGGATTTTTTCTTAATCCACTATGATTTTTTCTTCAAAATTATATAGAAACACGTTACATACATAAAAAATGCTGTTTTATGTATGGAGGTGTGGTTGCCGGGCAGAGGGAAAACATTACGTAATATAAAATAATCACTCTTGGGCCTTTAAAGGGGTTTTTTTACTTTAATATAGACATTTTCTTTGTCCATCTATGATATTTTTTTAAAAAATTATATAAGAAACATGTTCTAGCATATAAACAGCTGTTTTTTTGTAGGAGGGTGGTTGCGGGGTGGAGGGGGAAAAAATTTTGTAATCCCAATAATAATCATTTGGCACATTAAATTCTTATTTTTATTAATAAAACATTTTCATTAAGCCATCTATGGTTTTTTTTTCAGAATTATATAAAAAACACGTTAATAGCTATAAACATTTAAAAGTTTTGCTTTTATGGGGTGTGGTTTGCCGGGCAGAGGGAAAATATTACGTCACTCCCCTTAATACATAATGCTTTTGTTTACAATTCTCGGAATGAATTATTCATTACTTCTCCCTTTGTTTATGATGGCATCTAAAGGTAGTTGTTAGAAACAATTAAACTCGGTGAACATGGTATGTCGATGGTAATAATATGGCTCTGGGCCATGTTAAGTATCGTGTAGCTATGTAGATAGGTGTAGGTATGTAGCCCAGGCGGACTACATACCTACATTATTATTATAGCTGATAATTATACGTATGTGTACCTGTACATAAGTATGCCTTCACTCAGGGTGTCATTTCTTCTAAAAATGGTGTTACATGAGAGTGGGAGTGTTTCTCTTTATTTATTCTACTGTATCAACATGGAGACAACTTGTACACAATGTAAAGTGACAAAAACCAGACATGTTCGTCTGGTTTGTTTACGTGTAGGTAGGGTGGGGAGGGCTGCCCTGGCTGGATACCATACTTCCCAAACCTGACTTCCTACAAATAAAACTCGCCTCTCACCCTACGTTAAGATTACAAATATTTTAAGGTAATTAATGAATGTACTGTATATGTATTTTATCGCTCTGAGGAGCTTTAATTAAATGTAGTATATTACGTGCGGGTGGGGTGGGCTGACCTGGCTGGCTACCATACCTCCCAAACCTGTCTTCCTACGAATTAAACTCATCTCTCACCCTACATTAAGATTACAGATATTTTAAGGTAAGTAATGGGTGTACTGTGTGTGTATTTTACTTTTTATTGTTTTTAACCCTTTGAGGGTCGACAGGCCCTCTCCGAAACTCGTTCTCAGGGTCGGCCAAATTTAAAAAAAAAAAAAAAATTATTTTCTCTTATGAAAAGATAGAGAATCTTTTCCCGATCATAACGACACCAAAAGTTTGAAATTTGATAGAAAACTTACGGAATTATGCTCTCGCAAAGTTAGCGGTCTCAGCGATGTTTACGGATCGGCGATTTTGCCCACTTTGAGCCCCATTTTCGACCAATTTCACTGTACTAGTCGACAAAAAACATGAATATTTCGCTAGATCTCCATTTTTTCTATCGAATGGGTGCAAGAAACCACCCATTTATAAATTTAACTATCCAGTACAGTGGTCAGAATTTAGCAATTTTGCCAATTTCACACAAATTTCAAAAGATGCCAATTTCGGAATAGGGTCCAGAATAAACAAGAAAGACATTCCTGGCACTAAAATGACATTTCCTCTAGTCATTAGTCACGTCTCAAGGCCCCTCTTATATTCTTTTGCTTTCCACTTTGAATTTTTCTTTCTTCTTTCTTTCAACACACCAGCCGTATCCCACCGAGGCGGGGTGGCCCAAAAGGAAAAACGAAAGTTTCTCCTTTTACATTTAGTAATATATACAGGAGAAGAGGTTACTAGCCCCTTGCTCCCGGCATTTTAGTCGCCTCTTACAACACGCATGGCTTACGGAGGAAGAATTCTGTTCCACTTCCCCATGGAGATAAGAGGAAATAAACAAGAATAAGAACTAGAAAGAAAATAGAAGAAAACCCAGAGGGGTGTGCATATATGTGCTTGTACATGTATGTGTAGTGTGACCTAAGTGTAAGTAGAAGTAGCAAGACGTACCTGAAATCTTGCATGTTCATGAGACAGAAAAAAGGACACCAGCAATCCTACCATCATGTAAAACAATTACAGGCTTTCGTTTTACACTCACTTGGCAGGACGGTAGTACCTCCCTGGGCGGTTGCTGTCTACCAACCTACTACCTATAACTTTGAATTTTTATTCTCACAAAAAATATAAGATTTACTGTTATGCAGACTACTGCATTAGTGTAAAAAATGGTATAAATATTATTGGTGCACTTGTGAAAGAATATTAGACTCACCAGTTGACGTGTATTGCACGCTTGGCACGATTTGTTTACTTTTGAAGTTTGGTAAAAATCGAACATTTCTGCTACTTTGAGCTCAATTTCAAGGCACCTTTCATTGTAAAACCAGTCAAAATCATCTCAATTTCAGTAATATGTCTTCCATTCTATAAAATGAGACCAAGAAAACTAGAATACAACAATAAATACCATACGAAAATACACTACAAAGTAGCTGATTTATTAAAAAAAAATGGAAAAAGTTTTTTTTTTCTCATTATGCACCGTTTGCTGCAGGATTTTTTTTAGACTGTGCACACTGACCACATAGACCCATTCTTTCATATGAAGGCCTACCAGCTTTCTCCCACTAGATTTGAGGTCGCTAGAATTTATGAGTACTAGTACGTCAAAAACCCCTACGCGTAAGACGTACTAGTACGACGAAAACCCTCAAAGGGTTAATGCCTAGTTCTATTGCTAATGTAATATATGTTAGTGTAAACTTGTTACCTGGTATTTATATGCATTTATAAGGGGAAAAATTGGCATTCTGCTTTCCGGTAGTAGCCTGGAACCTAACCTGCCGTATAAGTGGGGCCCTAATGTATCCAGTTTTGAATTGTAGTATATTGGCATGCCTCTGGCAAGAAGTAATGCTGAAAATGTTTCTTCTTTTTGGGTCACCCTACCTTGGTGGGATATGGCCAAGGCGTTAAAAAAATTCTTTTTTCCTCCCCCACACTCTTCTCAGTTCCTCACACTGTACTATGCCCCCGACTTCATGATATATTATGCTTCCCATACCATTCACTGTGCTTAATGTCCCATGCCCCATACCATGAACTCCATGCTTTTTCCTTGCCACACTTACAATGAGTATAATGTGACTGGATGGGCAAGGTGGAAATTTGTGTGTACCCAGGTTGGGAGGGAGGATAGTGGAGTATTACCCAGACCCTCATCCTCCCTCCAAAAGAAAAATCATATCAATTGCTCTTTGCCAACACACGAATAACAAAGATATAAACAAAATGTCAGTACATTTTGTGAAAAACTAGAAGGGAAGAAAACATAAATTATCCTTTAATAAATTGTTCAGCATCTTACCTCCAGCAAGCAAGGCTAAGCTCTCCGAACATACATAAAAGGAACATATGCAAAATATGAAAGCATTTAGTGAAAAGAAAATAGCTGTGCAACTTATTTTTTGTTTTTAATATTTGCATTGATCATAACTGCAGAACATTGTTAGTCAGGGATTTAGTGTATTGTCAAGTAGAATTACAGTATTATGAAGTAATCTCTTATGACTCACGAAATCGTAATGACACGATTGCAAACAAACCACAGTACGGGTGAGGATTGAACTTGCCCAGTGGCTATGCATCAGACTGTAGTTTTACGACTCACTCACTACAAGTTCAATCCCCATCTGTACCATGGTAAGTAATCCTCTAACTCTCATATCTAATCTGATTGCTGTACATGTTAAGTGGCCCCCATATGAATATATTGTTAATTAACGAGTTGAGGAGTTTGCTGGTCACCATTTGTGTATGTGACTTAATAAAGTGTGCATGTAGGATTTAATATTGCTTAATATCCCATTTTTTTCTTTTCAGCCACGATCTTGGGCGGTCAGACATGTCTGCGGTGTTCTTAGAACCACTGGAGGGCATAGTCATACAGTTTGTTCCAAACCTCTAGAAGACAGCAGATTTGCAACTAGTTTAATATTTGGTCTTAGACTGCAACATTAAAGAACATAGATTTGTTTGGCTTTTAACTGCAACAAACAAACACATAATACTTTTTAACTGCAACAAACAAACACATAATACTGATGTATTCAGATGCTCAGGATATTATTCCTCTGCAGACAACCATTACAAGCTGACTTAACCCACAGGAAACTGATTAAGCAAATAGGTTTTAATTTGAATATGTAAACTTGATATTTTAAAATGACATCAAAGCTGTATACATCAGATTTGTTAGTTTTATGTATTAGGACATTGCTTTATGCAACAGTTCTCGATAAATTTTTTTTAATGTGATTTTACCTTACAGTAATACAAGTTATACATCTGTAAGGAAAATGCGCTTGAAAGATTTTAAAAGAGTTTGGCAGCTTGTGTTGTCATGAAATAAAAGATAGAGAAATAATTTGTTTCCTTATAAGAGTACCATAACCTTGGTTGACGTGGTAGTTACTTGTACAGGATTAGATAACATAGCCTTATCATATATTAAGTGAGCAATAGAGCTAGGTCAAAACAATGCATATACAGTGCATACATTACCTTAAAATATTTTCATCCTTAGCTTATAGTAAGTGGTGAATATATTTATTGTAGGAAGTCTGAAAAATGAAGAATGGGTATAATTGAAAACTGCTTCATTAGCGAAACGCCATAAAGCGAAAAGCTGTAAAGCGGGGCCTGCTTGTATTTCAATGCTCATGTGACTAGAACACTAAACCAAATGTTAATAGAGGTGCCTTGCTCTGTAACACATGATGGTTTAGTGCTATTTTAAATATAAGAAGGGCCATAGTACTGAAGGACTATAATTTGATGTACACTTAAAATTTGTAAAGTAATCCACTTGGATATTATATAACACATATATCTTTAATAATTCTCCATAAATATAATGCAGATGAAATGGCTTGGTGGAAGAGAAATATTTGGCTTCTTGCTACTCTATATCAGTTATTTAAATTGTTAGATAATGGACTTCAAAAATTGAACTGTTGTTTCCTGCAGCACTGTATGACCCTTATGGTTTTAGCACTTTGTTATGATTATAATAATGTTACTTCAGTGGATCAGATCGATGACCTCCCACCCCCTAGGCACTATAGGACCCCTTGTAGGTTTAGTGTTTTTTCTTCCTTAAACACAAGTGTGTGCTAGTCTGCCAAAGAAGCTATTGAACAGATATCTGATAAAGCCAAACCCTTCATGGGGAATGTCGATGAGAAGTTCTTCCAAGGATTGGAGTTACCCTTCCTTTGGAACAAATATTTTTTACCCCCTTGTACGTTGGTTTCAGTGACCAATTGTACCACCTGTGCCATGATTATCATTGGAGGAAGTGAGGGAGTGTCTTGATTACTGAGCCAAGGAGCTGGCAGTGACCTCCTTTTCCTTGTAAGGAATCGGACTTCCTTTTATCCAGACAATGTGTGACCCCTACAAGTTTAGCATTTGCCTCAGAAAATGTAAAGCACATTGACATTTCAACAGGACTGGAAGCTCTACCTCAGAACCATCAGCCTCTTCCGTCAAGGGAGGTTCCTTGATGCTGGTGAGGGGCGCTTGGTCTAGGGAATTGGATCAGTGCTCCGGTTCCCTGAACTGAGCCTGAATACCTTCCATCCTCCCCACATGCGCTGTGTAATCCAACGGGTTTAGCGGTCTCCCCTGATTATAATTGACACCCCCCTTAAGGGAAGTTCCTTGAAACTCCCCTCAAGGGAAGTTCCTTGACACCCCCCTCAAGGGAGGTTCCTTGATGCCCCCCTCAATTATAATTATTATTATAATCAAAAAGAAGCGCTAAGCCACAAGGGCTATACAGCGCTGCAGGGTAGGGAAGGAAGCGAGGGTATTGGATGGCAAAAGGGAGGAGGGATGATCAGTAGGTTACAGAAAACAGCGGGGCAGGGGATAGTACGGGGGTAGAGCGTAGCAAGAGATTGAAGTAGAAAGGGCTGAAGGTATCAGAATTTGTGAAGTAAGTCGGTTGTTGTCAAAAAGTCAATGAGAGAGTCTGGATGAAAGGTGGGTCCATCAGCGAGAAGGGAAGGTAGAGAGAGAGCAGCAGAGCGAAGACGACGATGGAGGTAAATTCTGCGTGCTCGTTGATAAAGTGGGCAGTCCAACAGAATGTGGCTGACTGATAATGGAACTTGGCAAGTCTCACAGAGAGGAGCAGGGCGCCTCTCCATGAGATATCCATGAGTAAGTCGAGTATGGCCAATGCGAAGACGGGAGAGAGTAGTCTCCCAACCTCGACACTGGTGATAAGAAGACGGCCAGTAACCTATACTCGGTTTAATAGATTGAAGTTTGTTGCCGAGCATAGTAGACCAACGTTGTTGCCAACGGGTGTGAAGTTGGGAAGATATTGCAGCAAAATAGTCCGTAAATGGAATACTTCTACATGAAACTGGTAGGTCATGTACTGCTGACCGCGCAGCAGTGTCTGCCTGTTCATTGCCCTGTACGTCAACATGACCAGGGACCCAACAAAAAACAGTATCTTTATGCTTGGTAAAGATGCGGCATAGCCAAAGTTGGATACGGAGGACTAAGGGGTGAGGTGTATCAAATTTCTTTGTAGCCTGTAAAGCACTAAGGGAGTCTGAGACAACCACAAATGATGACACAGGCATAGATGCAATACGGATAAGTGCTGTAAGGATGGCATACAATTCAGCAGTAAAAATACTAGCCGAAGATAGTAAATGCCCTTGTACGACGCTGTCCGGAAACACTGCTGCGAATCCTACGCCGTCAGAAGACTTAGAGCCATCTGTGTACACAGCAATGGCATGAGAATGAGAGTGAAAGTGGTCAAGAAAAAGAGAGCGGGAAGCCACCGTAGACAGTTGGGCTTTTGAGCAAGGGAGAGAGAAAGAACAGACACTAACAGCTGGAACTTCCCAGGGGGGTAGGGAAAAGTGAGATGCTACATGTACATAGAAAGGTGGTAATTGAAGAGAAGACGAGCTAATGAAGGCGAAGAGAGAAGGGACGGAGTAAACAGGGGCGGCGAACAAATAAAGAATGTCTACTAATATCAGTGATCATTCTATAAATGGAAGGATTGCGGAGATCATGAGAGCGTACATAGTAGCGAAGGCAATGGGCATCACGGCGATCGGATAAGGATGGAACGTTCGCTTCTGCATAGAGGCTCTCAACAGGGGAAGAGCGAAAAGCACCAAGGCATAAACGTAATCCTTGTTGATGAATGGGGGTTAAGGCTAGAGAGAGTAGCAGGAGATGCCGCTGAATAGATCTGGTCACCATAATCAAGTTTTGATAAGATAAGGGTGGAATGTAGGCGAAGGAGGGTTCGACGATCAGCTCCCCATGAAAGATGAGCAAGGGTTTTAAGAAGGTTCAGCCGGCTGTGACAAGTTGCCTTCAGAGAGGTAATGTGAGGTTTCCAGGATAACCTACGATCAAAGAAGAGGCCCAGAAACTTGACTGTATCACGTTCAGGAATACGGGAGCCATAGAGGTACAAAGGATGATCGGAGATGACAGAGCGTCTAGTGAAAGTAATTTGGTGGGTTTTAGTGCTGGAAAATTTAAACCCACGTGTGGTGGCCCAATTGGAAACACGGTCGACTGCATGCTGGAGAGAAACTGTAATAAGGTGACAGTCAGCGCCTGCACAGGCAATAGCGAAGTCATCAACTTAGAGTGATGACCAAATATTTGATGGAAGACTAGAGGCCAAATCATTAATAGCAAGGAGAAAAAGTGTTGTGCTCAGAACACATCCCTGGGGACACCTTCAGCTTGGATAAAGTCCGGGAGAGCACATTATTAACCCGAACACGGAAATGCCTGTCAGTTAAAAAGATTCTTAAGGAAGGATGGTAGATTGCCTCGAAGGCCTAAGGAGTGGGCTTGGGCTAAAATATTATACCTCCAAGTTGTGTCATATGCCTTCTCAAGGTCAAAAAATATGGCAATAACTGAGTGGTTATTCGCAAAGGCATTACGAACATACGTATCCAAGCGTAGTAAGGGTCTATGGTAGAACGTCCCTTACGAAAGCCATATTGACGAGTGGAGAGACTGTTGTGTGTCTCTAAATACCACACTAAACGTCTATTTACTAGGCGTTCCATCACTTTGCAAACTGCACTGGTAAGAGCAATGGGACGATAGTGGGAGGTTTCATGTCCCGTAGTGCCTGGTTTGCGGAAAGGGAGGAACAATGGCGGATTTCCACAGCTGTGGAAGAACTCCTTGTGACCAAATAAGAGTGTAAAGGCGTAATAGGACTGCAAGGGCTGACTGATGTAAATGTTGTAGCATACGAATATGAATGTCGTCGGGCCCAGCTGCCGATGATCGGCAAGCTGAGAGTGTTGCCTCCAGTTCTTGAAGTGTAAAGGGCACATTATACTGTTCTTCTCTGAGAGAAGAAAAGTCCAAGGGTGCTATCTCTCTGGCAGACTTTGAGGAAAGAAATGAGGGGCATAGATGGAGTCCCTGAGAAATACGGACCAGATGATTGCCAATTTCATTGGCAACATCTAGTGGTTTGCTATATCAACACCGGCAACCCGCAGAACAGGAGCCGGGTCAGGAGAATATTTACCACTCAGTTTTCTTACTTTTTTCCAGATTGCACTCATAGAGGAAGCAGAGGTGATGGTGGAGACATAATCTCGCCAGCAAGTGCGTTTAGCGTCACGGATGACACAGCGAGTGATCGCACGCTTCTGCTTAAAATCAAGAAATCTCTCTGTGGTTCTATTGTACCGGTACCTGCCCCATGCAGTGCGTTTCAAACGTACTGCACGAGCACAAGCAGGAGGCCACCAAGGCACGCATTTCTGAGAATACCTGCCTGAAGTTTGGGGTATAGAATGAGAAGCTGCGGTTAAAACGGAGGACGAGAAGAGGTGTAAAAGCTCATCGATGGAGGACGAAGAAGGAACCTCTCTAAAAACAGTTAGGTGTGAGTAAAGGTTCCAATTTGCCTGATCAAATTGCCAGCGTGGGATGTGAAGAGGTGGTGAATATGAAGGGGAAGTAAGAATGATTGGGAAATGATCGCTGTCATGTAAGTCTGGAAGAACAGACCAAGTTAAGTCTAATGTGGCGGAGGAAGAGCAGACTGAGAGATCGATGCAAGAGAGAGTGTGAGTCCGAGGATCAAAATGGGTGTGAGTACCTGTATTTAAAACATGGAGGGGGTGGGTGGCAAGAAAAGCCTCTAACTGAATGCCACGGGAATCACAGTGAGACCCCCCCCAGAGGAAATGGTGGGCATTAAAATCACCAAGTAACAGAATCGGTTTTACCTGGAGTTTACCTGGAGAGAGTTCCGGGGGTCAACGCCCCCGCAGCCCGGTCTGTGATCAGGCCGGTGGTGGTAATGACGAAACAAGAAAGGTAATATCCGGAATA